CCCCCCCTTGGCTACGCTACTGCCTCCCTACCACATACGTCGACGACTTTACTATCCTAGCAACCAGTGCAAATCCCAACCAAGTTATCAATTCACTATAGACTCAAGTTAACAAAATTAACTTATGAGCCAAACAATGGAGAATCAAAATAAATACCGAAAAATCTGCTCAAGTTACGTTTACTTTAAAAAGATCCCCCGAAGAATGTCCTCAATTAATAATGAATAACATCCCCATTACTGTCCGAACTGAAATAAAATACCTGGGTTTAACTCTAGACAAAAAATTAACATAGGAACCGCATTTAAAGAAAAAACGAAAATCAGCAAACAATAGACTTCATCTCCTCCGCCCTCTCCTAACCTTCAAAATAAATTAATCATTTATAAAACACTTATAAGGCCAGTTTGGTCCTATGGAATTGCTATATGGGGTCCTGCAAAACCAATCCAGATATAATATATTATAGTTATATATATATAAGACTAATCCAGGCATTTCAGTTTATTTCTTTGAGGCTTCTAACAAATGCTCCGTGGTACGTTTCAAATTACTTTTTCAAAAGACTTAAAACTATCAACTACCACAGAACTGGCCAAAATAACTCACAAACGCTTCCATCAAAATCTAAACACACATACTAACTTATTCATATCACAAATGTTTACCCTCACTCTACCCAAAATTCCACCATGCAAACTCAAGCGAAAATGGTGTAGAGATCAACTAAAGAGGTGTAACCAATGGGTTGCTTCTTATCACGATACTCATGTCAATTTAATCTATATTATTCAAATTTGCTTATTGTATTATTTGTACAGATTGTAAATTTTCCTTTAATATAAAAAAAAAAAACGTAATGTAAACAATTCTACGAGTATTTAATCCATGAATAAAGGAGACTTTTATGAAAAATTATTATTATTGGATGGTGGGCTAGTCATACTTTAATTAGGTAAATTTATATATATATAATTTTAAAAAATAATTGATAATTTGCCAGGCCGAAATTTTTAGCCAATCCGCCGCTGATCATAAAATAAGATAATATATAAATGTATGCAACATATTAACCATATATATGTTAACCACCAATACTAAAAAATTTAGTTAAAGGACTTAAAACCATGGCTAAGCCCTTAAATCTTCACTGGAATATTAATACTAGATCAAGAGTTATAGAGACTGACTATCCACTTAAATAATTCATTGTAAATATAAATAAAAAGTATGTGTAAAGTAAAAATGTATAATACATAGGTAACATTATCTTACAAAAATGATTTATTACATATTATTTATTTTGTTTAATATGAATAGCATATAAATGAGTAATAAAAAATGATTTTTAAATGTTAATACTAATCTAATTCTATTAATTCAGGTTTGCCATTATTATTTGATTGAAGATCATGCTGATTAGTTCGTGGAACGCGTTCTGAAGATTGACGGACTACATGGCGAACAGTAGTAGTTGTGGTCATTGTAGTTATCCGCTATGAAAATAAATTAAAAATAATTGTGAAAAATTAATGTATATGTAATTGTTGACATCAGTAAATAAAGCACTTAAAATAAAAATTAATGCTAGGTCTGCACAGCCTCATTTTTGTATTTAAAAACTATTAGATCGAATTTCATGTTGGAAAATATCAATGTATGTATTTTTTTTGTTATCTTGACATTTGTAGAATCGGCATACAATTATTCAAGTTGATACTATTTATCAGATTTGAGATGTTTAAAATATTAGAAAAAAAAACTGTTGTTTTAAATGGAAAAAAAACATAATTTTTGGACTACCTACCATCTACAAGTTTAATTAAATTTTCTGCAATAGTTGATGTATAAATGTTTTTCAACAATGAAATACTTCAATATTTTAATTTTTAGTTGATCAATAGATGTTTTGAAAATAGGAAACGCAAAAACACGAATTTTATCACGTTCTAACACTTATAATCACAATAATAATAATAAATAGATGATTCTATTAATTTTTATAGTATTAAAATATACCTAATGACTAATAACTAATAAGTATTAGCCAAGATCAAGTCTACAGTAGTCACTACTATAAAAAAACCTCAACGTACACCTGCATTAGTTGTCAATACTTATTTTTAATTTTAATTTACAACATATTTATTTTTATAATTTAATTACATTCCAAACATACTTTTGTTGTTACATTTTTAGTATTTATATGTTATAACTTTTTAATTATTTATTAATTATTTGCCGTAGGCACGTGGCTAATTGCTACTATATTTATTATTATATTTAATTACACTCTTTTAAGTTCATGTATTATATTAAAAATAAACCTACACCAATAATTTTATTTCGTTTAAAATTCAATTAAAATGTGTTTTAAACATGACTACTAACATCTCTACTGACTAGTTAGTGAAAATAAAATAAAAATGCACTGTAACCAAGGCCATTTCTAGAAATTTTCATCGAGAGGGGTCCAAAACATGTATATTGTAATTTTATTGAATTTAGATTTTAACTTTTGACATTTGGTTAAAAATTAGACAGAAAAAGATTTAATCTTCTTTTATTAAAATTAATATCATATTTTCATATGCTATTATGATATTAAATTAAAAACAGTCAATGACTAATTGGAGCTTAAGTCATTTTTGACTGAAAATATTTATGTTGGCATTGAAAACAAATAAATATTTTAAACGTTCATAAAATATTGAAGAAATTTCGGGGGGGGGGTCCAGACACCTTAGACCCCCCCAGATACGGCCTTAACTGTAACTACCCATTCAATGTATATGTACCGTTAACTTATCACACCAAAAATCATATGGGAGGCTAATGATTTTAGTTTATGAACCCTCCTTAATATATAAATTAATAAAAAAAAAAAATTAATTAAAAATTACACACAATTCAGATACCATTTATAAAGTGACACAATAAGGTTTTATAATTTTCGGAATTATCAAGAATAATATATCATAGGCAATATATTAGCATTTTCTAAATGAAATTGTTTCAATAATTAAAAACTATATTATACTTATTTATTAAATAATTTATTACTTTATTACATTTTTACAATACAATTATTAAACTTTCTTTATTGTAAATTAAGAATATTCACTTTTATTTACAATTATTATCTAAAATTCTTCTATTATCTTTTATTGTATTAGTTTAAATCCTTACATTTTTAAACCTGTTGTTGAAAAAAGGTTCTTTGGAGTACATACACCCAAATATGGAGCAATAGAAAATAAAGAAGAAGCAATTATTTATGAGCAGGAGCAGGTTGTAGATAGATGGAAAAAATATATAGAAGCACTTTACAATGAAGAATATGTAGAATATCTGGTATTAAGAGAATAATTTGACAAAGCACTAAGAGACTTAAAACCAAAGAAATTAGGAATAGATGAGATCCAAGCTAAACTTTGGAAGGAAGCAGGAAAAAATATGCTGAATGAATTATTTAAACTCATTAAAGATATTTATAGAACGGTGAATATACCTACTAACTTTGTAAAGAGTATAATCATTCCCATAACAAAGAAGACATTAACTATAAAATGTGAACAATATCGAAACATTAGCTTGCTAACGCATGCCTCAAAAATTTTAACAAAAATGATGTAAAAGAGAATGAAAAGGAAGATAGAAGATACATTATCAGAAGACCAATTTTGATTTAGAAAAAATATGAGTACGAGGCAATATTGGCCTTAAGATTAATAGTGAAGAAAATAATCTGAGAGGAAATTAATGTGGAACAGTATACAGAAAAGACAAAATAAATAAACAGGTCATATTTTAAGACATGATGGGCTGCTTTTATTAATCTTAGGAGTAATTAATGGAAAAATCACAAAGGAAGACCATGATTTCAATACATGAGTCTGATAATAAAAGATCAAGTATGTAATTCATATCAAGAGTTGAAGAGGAAGGTTAGTGATAGAGAAACATGGAAGTTGCTACAAACCAATCATTAGATAGAATACTGCAAGAGAGAAACAACATAATATTCACCTGTTGTAATAATGATTGATTATTATGGAAATGTCTTTGCTGATTAATAGAATTTGTATAAGGTCGATTAAAATGTCTTGCTGTTTGTGTTATACTCCTCTGAATTGATGACTGTATTTTACGACTTGAAGTTTGTTGTTGTCTAATGATTGGATTACATTATTATTAAAAATGATGAAATTTATAATTTATATTTAAATTATATTGGCTTCGCTATTTGAGATTATATATATTTAAGAATCTAATTACATTCATTAATAAAAAATAAGACTATGAAACTTATAGGATAACCAATAAGTAGAACAAGGTTATAATTAACCTGACTATAAAATTTGTTACAGTATTTCTTATTACTTAACCTTCTATCGGTTGCGCGGGTTAAATAATCTCTCAATCTAGATATAAACATTAGTAAAAAATTGAAATTACTATTATAATAAAATTAAATTAAAAAAAAAAAACACAATTTTGAATTTAAACATTAAAATGCAATTAACGTATAATTATAAATTATTTTAAATACATAAATACAGTTGTTCATAAAAATACATACATTTTGGAAAATTTTTACCCCGCGCGACCGATAGAAGGTTAAGAGAACAATAAAAAGCATACCAAATAATGATAATTATAATAACATTTATATCTGAATATTTCTATATAATTATGAACAAAACAAAAACAAATAATATACAGTAAAAGTAATAAAATTTCCTTATACAGATTCACTATAAAATGGAAATCTCTTTATAACAGAAAATAACCAAAACTCTATTTAAAATAGGTACAAAAGGCCTTTCTATAGTGGAATTTCCAGTAACCAAAAATTGAAACACAATTGTTTTAACCACAAAATAAAAATCTTTACAAAAAAATTACCAGATATAAAGTTATTTTATAAATTATACAGTAAAACCTACTTATAATGGACCCCGTATAAGACAGAAATATAAGATTTTAAAAAAATAATCTCGTGTTTTAAGCGTTACTGAAGTTTTCAACTATTGTTTCAAATACTGAATTATTAGAATTAATAACAAAAGCTCAAGAATATACAGCTTTCAATCATTGGAAATAATCAAATATCACAAATTATTTTTCTAAATAAATAATATAACAAATAATTTGTAATAAAATAAAATATATAAAGCTAATCTAAGCACATGAAAACAAAAATAAAAATATATTTTGTATGTATGTACTATATGGTCTTGATTTTGAAATAATAAATTAAAAAATTAAATTTTAGATTTTTTTTCAGTCTCCCTTTTTTTCACTGTTTTATTATGGAAAAGTAAATTTCGTAATAAAGAAATTTTACTATAATGTATAAAATAAAATTTTTATGAAGTTAAAACTTTGAAATAATATCAATCAATTTTTAAATAAATAATTTATTATAAATTATCAAATATTCCAAATACAAATAAATATAAAAATTCTTGCCTGGAGAATTATTGTAAGAGCATATATTGAAGACCAGTTTCTACTTAAAAAAAACACTTAATAGAAAATCAAATACTATGCAAGTATAAAGTATGTTAATACTAATTATTTTTTAGTTTAATTTTTATTTTCAATGTAACTTTTTAAATCTAATATTAATTTAAATTGAAACCTGTTATTTATAAATATATAATCTTCAAGCAAGAACTTTAATTATTGGTATTTGGTAAACTTAATAATTTGTAACCAATTATTTATTTTTTAATAATATTTTAATAATTGTGTAATCGTCTCCTGCAACATTTCTGAATAAGCCATGAAATAAAGTTTGTTAAAATGATAAATATGATAAAGGTTAAAAGAATTGTTACTTACTGTTTATTATAATTATCATGTTTAATATAAGGCAGTCTTGAAGGTCTGGTATTGTTCATAAGCCAACAGTTAACAAAATTATTGGAATTCTGATTACCATTACTCAAATTATGACCACCCTTTATAACAAAAATAACATTATTAGCTAGATATGTTATATAAAAAATAAACTAATATAATAACTTTACTTACACGTAATGGCACATTCATTGATGGATGTCTCATAGATGGCTGATTTTGACCAAATTTATATTTTTTTTCAAAGTTCACTAAAAATAAAAAACCAAGATATTGTAAGTAAAAACCATAAAGATTATTTTTATTTTTTTTAAACATACTAGCTTTAATTATATTCTCTAGGGATTTTTTATTTTGTACTGGAACTCTGGGAGTATCACAAGAAGTAATTTCTATATCTGAATCATCAAGTTCATTTAATTCAATCTCACTATCTTTATCTTCATTTATCTCTACAATAGGTTCTGTAATAATTGGATCATTACTCTTAATGTCAATAGTTTCAGTACTAATGTTCATAAGGTTGTCTTCAGTTGTTGCTGATTGAACTTCATTTTTTTGTGTATTTTTAGAAACTAGTGAATCATCACTATCATTTACATTTATTTTATTTACAACTTCATCAATTACTAATGTGCCATCACATTCAGTACCAGAAATAGATCCTTCCTGAACTGAAATATTACTATCTATAATTTTTTTACTGTTATTAATATTTTCTGAACTATTATAAGGAACTGTTTCAGCATCAATATCAATTATTTCATCTGCCGTATTAGTATTACTATCATCAAAATCTAGAATATTTTTATCAGTTTTATCAATATTTGACTTTTCTTTGCTCACATTTAATTTGTCTGCTGTAGCTGCACATGGTTTTAAATCAAATGACTCCATATAAATAGTTTTCTTACTTTTTTTTGTTGATTTATTATTATCTGATAAGCATATTTTTCGTTTAACCGATATAGGTTTAATGCATTCGGAATCTTTATTATATTTTTTCTTGACTAACTCATCTTCTGAACTAATTTCACATTCAGAATTATTAAGACTCGAACCATCTGTCTCTTCTGCATAATCTTGTTTATTTATAAACTCTTCTCTCACCTATCAAAAAAAAAAAAATAATAATAATAATAATAATATTATATAAATAGTATGCTTTCAATGTACATAAAATGGTAATAACTAATATTTTAAAATTCTTTGAAATATCAATATAACATAAATTGAAAGTAATTTGTCAAATAACTAAAAATAAATTATTTATAATCTAAGCTAAAAATACTTGCTTTGTTTGCTTATTTATTTATACATTTTATTTTAGTTGATATTTACCATAGTTAAATCAGCTAAGAACTTTTTGTTACTTTCATCAAGTTTTTTTTTGAGAGCCTCATTTTTTTCAGCAGGATCCTCCTCGTAAGTATCAGTTGCCAAATTACCAAAATACTCTTTCAATCTGTTTGCCTTTAATCGTTTTCCCAACTTCAAAAATGCATCATGTGCTGGAAAAAAAAGTTTTAACTTTTTTCATCGTGAATTTCATAAGTTTTAATAAATTTACTCACAAATATTTTGTAATTCACTTTCATTCCAATTTAATTGTTTTTTTTCATTTAATAATTTTAATAAAGTATATATTTCAAAATAATCAGGAAATATTTTGCTAATATTATAAAATTTTTCAATAGTTTTATTAACTAAAGGATTATTTGTATCTTTAAAACGCAATGGTGGTTGTTCTAGAAAATCTGGTTCATCTTGGAGTTTACACATTCTTTTGTATATTTCAACTATCCTTTTTTCATACCTAAAATTAAAAATAAATAAATAATTAAAATTTAGTCTTTTGGATTGGATACATAGATTAATGTTTAATGCTTGAAAACAACAATAAATTATAATTTAAAAGATTAATTTATATAATAATATGTGAAGTTATTATCCAAAAATTGTTAAACAAGACATATTGAAACATTTTGAAACAAAAATATTTTCACTTAATACAAATTTAAAATAACTTATTTCATTAACTAGTTCAGGGTGGTCCAACCTTTTGTAGTTGGCAGGCCAATTTACACTTACATAAAAACAATAAGGGCTGCAAAAAAAAAAAATTATATTATTATCCAGTAAAACCTACAGTCAATAATTGCCAACTAATAATGACTATAATTATAATAATAATTTCCATAATCTCCCACCACAAGAAATTGGATTCGCTGTAGTTGCTACAATAAAAACACGATACCTACATACATACGCAGTGAGCTGAATTCAAACATGGTTTTAGATATACTTGTTGCACGTATACCTACATTTTATAGTAAAAAACATAAAAAGTATACAATCTTAAAACAATTTTGTTATAATATTATTGTGACTTTTTTTTTTTTATATAAGTCGTTAAATCTTCTATGGAGGGCCAAAAAAAAAAAGGCTTTGAGGACAGTGGGTTGCACCATCCTGAACTAGTTTATTAAGACATTTTAATGAATTAATAAAATTTTAATATAAGAAAAAATTTAAAAATTTAAATATAACATAACAACTATTAAACATTAAATAAAATTATTCATTGATGATTGATGAAAAACTACAAGTGAACTAACCCTAATTGAATCGCTTATTACAGAAACCCCGTAAGAGACAAAAATTTCGAAACATTATTTTCCACTTGCTTATATCTTTTTAGTAGACACATCGATTTTTGCAGAAGCCCCATCTTATTTACGTGGCCAATTCGCGTCTTTGAAATTTTTGTTTGGAGCAGAAACTCTTAAGTAATGTCATGTAATACAAAAAATACAAACAAGTGGAAAATAATATGTTTCGAAATTTTTGTCTCTTACGGGGTTCCTGTAATAAGCGATTCAATTAAGGTTTTAAAACAAAACCTTCATAAAAATAAATTATCAAAATTTTATAGGCCATTGAATAATGAAGTTTTGAATTTGTAAAATGCTTATATATTTTATATGTTTAATGTGATTATTCATCTGTCATCAACCAGAATAAATAAAAATATCTGAAATACCAGATAGTTACATCATCCCCATTCATCAGCTTTTTTAAAAAATGTATAATATTGTGACCATGAAAGGTTAGGAATACTTTTTCTACTAAAAAAAAGAGCTTATAGTTAATTGTTGCCTTATATAATATTATATTACATAATAAATATTATTATAATCAATGGTATTACTTAAGGCATAATACAATAATTTAAAAACAATAATTTTTTCATATTTTAAATATTTTGTATACAACTCACTTATCCTTTTTAATATATAGAGAATCTGAACCAAAATCATCATCATTATTTATATCCATCTCTGATTCATTAAGAGTTTTAATTTTCATACGAGCAATCTATAAAAATAAAATAAATAGTTATTTGACTTAAAGCTCTAATTAACTTATTTTTTATAAACTTTCTAATTACGCGTAATGCTTTTTTTAGTTCAGCTAGTCTCTTCAATTTCTTTTGGTTGATTTCTTGATTTTCTATAGATATTTTCCTATCTTGACACTTTAAAATAAATAAAAATAAATATACTTTTGATAAAAATGTATTATTTCAACTAATATGTAGGGCCCACATTTGAATTGTTCTAAAAACCAACAAAAAATACTTTTAAATAGCTAAAACTTTCTTTTAAAAAATAGTTTATAACATTTTCTTTAATTAATGTATTATTTTTATTTATTAGATAATTAATATATAATATAAAAATAAAAATTAATACTAGCAATAAGAATAACAATTGAAATTTGAAAAATTTGATTTGATAGTGTTGACTAAAATTATCTTTAGATAATATCATAAAATAGTTAAATTAAAATGGTTAAGCCATATAATACAAAATAATTAAGCATGAAAACTAACAAAATATTCAATGAATATTAAAATATACTCTAAAATGAAAAATATTGAAAAATACAAAATTAGAAATTCGCCTTTTAAGAATCTGTTACATGAATTGTGACATGTTGGTATAAGATTACCCCAAAATTATAAAATTTCCATTTAAATCCTGGCCTTAATAATAAGATATAATCAAAGCTAATTATGTTACCATCATTGAAGATTGAAATTGCAATAATTGATCATAAATATGTTCAATGTGAATGTAAAAACTGCAATTACTATCAGGCCAAATAGTTTGATCTGCTTCTTTTAGTAACCGTAGGAAGTATTTAGAATTAACAAATTCAGATGGGAGAGAGTTGTACAGTTTATCAATCTTTTCAATGTTTGAGTTAGGAAAATTTGGATTTTGGTAACACTTTTCAATTAACTGAAACATAAATAAATCATTATTTACAACAAATATCATTCATTAATACTATGTCTTTATTCAGTATGCTACTGATAACTGATGGTTTTTTTTATGAAATAACTTAAGTTATTCTAATAGTGAAAACCATATTTTAGAAGCTGAACTAAAAATATGGTATTTATTAACATTTAGTTGATAGAATTTTAAATGTCTCATCTTTGTAGTTAACATTTTTACCAAAATTACTTTCTATGGTTATAACTTCTAATCACTTACTAGTTGGGTGTTAGATAAAAATTAAATTTAAAAAAAAGACAAATTGCAGATCAATGAAGAGGAATATTTACAATATTATTTTAGTGATGAAAGAATATGTGAAAAATATAAGTGTAAGATAGACATCACCTTAAAGAAAAGCAAGTTGATAATGAGACTGTGAATGAAGAATGGGAACAATTTAAGGAAATTGTAAAACCGATGCATATATAGAGGTTCTTAGTAGGTAGTAGTCCTTTGTTTTCAAGTATAGGAAACAGAAGAAATACCTGAAAACTAGAAGACATAGATGGTATGTTTCATACACAAGAAGAGAGATTAAAAGGACTGTAACAACTACTGAGGAATAGCACTCTTAAATGTAGCATATAAAATATTCATTAATTGCATTCTATCAAGGACAAAAGAAACAATTGAATATGACGTTGGACATTACCAAGATGATTTTAGGCTAGGCAGATCAACAACTGACCAAATATTCATCGACAGACCACTTTAAAAAAAAAAAAAAAAAAAAAAAATACATGGGAATTATAAAAGGAAATCCATGTAATTTTCATCGATTTCAAAAAAATAACATATGATAGCTTACAACGAGAAGATTTAATTAATAAATTGACATAGTTCCACTTCCCACATAAACTGATAAATCTGATCAAAGCAAATATCATGGAAATGTATGTAAAAGTAAAAATAGGAAACATAAAATTGAAACAAATACTAGTAAGGACAAGATTAAGGCAATGAGACTCTTTATCATCTGTATTATTTAATATTGTACTGGAAAAAAATTATAAAAGAAATTAATATAGGACAGCATGAAGGAGTGAATCTATAGGGACAAACTATAGGACTATTGGTGTATGCAGGTAACCCAGTACTGTTGACTGAGTTACAAAATTAACTAATGTCATTCTTCAGTCGGCTTGAAAAGTCATCAGTAAAAATATATTTGATCATCATTGAGGATAAAATAAAATATATGGTTGTTAATAGACAGAACAACATAAGATTAACCCCCTCTTTAAGAATAGGTCATTATAATTTGGTAAAGTGGGCCAGTTCAAGTATCTGGGGATAATTCTAGCAGAAAACAATGAAAAGGCAAATGAAATAGAAGAGAGAATCAGGTTAGAAACAAATGCTTCTTTGGATTAGTAAAACTGCTAGGGGCTCGATCCTTGTCAAGGGATTTAAAAAAAACAGCTATATACTATCCTTAAAAGACCGATTGTTACATATGAAACAGAGACTCGGGCAATCTGAAAAAACAGATGAGAGCAAACTTCTCATTTTTGGAAGGAAAGTTTTGAGAAAATTGTTTAGACCTGTGAAGAATAGTGTAATCAATGATTGGAGAGTAAGAAAAAACAAGAAAATAAAACAATTTTATCATAAACCAAACTTTATGGAAATAATCAGACATAAGAGACTACAATAGGCAGACACACACTTTGAGAAACCAAAACCCATTACTCTGGACAGTACTAAAGAAACATCTAACAGGAAAAAGACCCATGGGAAAACTGAGAATGAGGTGAGAAGATGTAGTGAAGAATGATGTGAAAGAGTTAGAAGGAGAAACACATTTTTTGAGTACTACATGTAAAGAAATACCATATAAATATGCATGTAATTGATCAAAATCTTGAGTTCTCAGACATACAATATCTAATCATAAGTTATAAACAAAATATTGTGGGGTACAATTATATTTCAGTTAGTTACTCAACTTATTGACCAATTTATCTAATATTTTAGCGAAAGTAACTATATTCAATACAGATAATTTTGAAAATATAGTCATGTAAACAAAATATATAATATAGAAGCAATTTGAACTCAATAAAATTATGAAAAACAAATTTGGTAATTATGAGACTAACAGTCCTTTGTGAGTATGAACTATAGACGGAGAATTTAATTAACCAAAAGAAATTTCCAGATGGTCAATTCAAATTAACATATGGCCATAAATCTTGTATAGATTCTTAATTTATATGCAAGATTAAATTTAAATAAACATATGTTTTTAAATGGTACACCTACATAAATTATAAGTAATTGTAATATTGAAAAAATATTTCATAGTATTCAAAATATAACATTAAAATAATAATAATAATTATGGTCTTACACTTTTGAATACTTCACTGCTTTTATTATCTTCATTATTTAAATCAGTCATACTTGTAATAGCATTTGAAGTACTTGCAATAGAATTTTCATTCTGAAATGTATTCCATTGTTGATATTAAAATTGTACACAGCAAGTATTAAGAGTTTATTATGTAATACATATAAAACATAAAAACATAAAATAATTAAAATATAAATAAATATAGGTACTATTAAATATTTCAAATTATGTTAACAGAAAGTTAACCTGAGTACAACAAAAATTTAAATTTTATTTCTTTATACCTATAAAACAATATAAAATTTCACTCTTAGTAATTATTTACAGTAGCTGCATAATTATATATAATTATTGATATTGTAAAATTATTAAATATGTCAATTCCTTCTTGCAAATAAAATGGCACAAAATCAATACAATTTTATAAAAAACGGGAGTGGAGAAATAACAAAGAAGGATGGACTAAAAATGAAATTTTAAAATTATTTATACTAAAATTCTAATAGTTTAGATACATACGCGTGAACTTGTCGAATCTAATTTAGATAGTTGCAATAGTTCATTGTATATGTCAGCAGCATGATGAAAGGAATTTTTGTTTTCAGCTGATATATGTTTTAATCCTTTATGAATTAAATCGCATAATTTTTTTGAATTTTTTTGTTTATCATTACAACATTCATACATTCTGTTCATAGCATTAACATATTCTTTAGGAAATTGTATATTCATTCGGCACAATTTGATCATCTATAAATAACATCTAACATAATATCTTCATAGTTTACATTATTTTTTTTAAAAAAGCTTTTATTTACTCTGTAGCACAACAGTATTTACATTGACAAATTCACAATACAAAAGAACAAAAACAAAGTTAAGTAATTATAAGTAGTAGTGATTAATATAAAATACTAAAAACATTCAAGATAAAAACAGCCTTCTAAATAAATGGAATAAAAATAATAAGGACCTTTTCAGAATTTGATCGTATGATAGAGGAGAAATTGAAAGAAAAATTCAAAAATTAAGAGAATAAACTAAATTAAGATATTTTATAGAAAGTGAAAGACAGTCGAAAAGGATATGGAATAAATCACAGATCCTTTCCTCATTATGAAGTGTACAAAAAATATTTACCTTTTGAAATAGATTCTTATTATCTTTCGTATCATTGATGCTAACCTGAAATTAAACAAAAAATAATTATAAATTTTTTTTTTTCTAACATATTCAATATTTAAATGAAGAAACAATTTATTAAGTACCAACTAATTTAATATTTGAACAATTTGATACAAAACTATTAAAAAAATAATATAAATATTAATTGGTAGTAAAATTTATCAGTAGAAACATAGCATAAGCAGTACCACCTAAAATCTTAAATAAATATTTACGTAATAATACAAAATATAAGATTCAATGACAATAAAGTGTAACCTAGATGCAGCGTTCGGTTAACACAATGAAATTAACAACAATTATGGAAACTGATTTATATTAAGATTAAAATAATGTTACACAAATTCAACATGAATATTACAATATATAAGTAAAAATATGATTATACTATAGAGATTTGGTTTGATGTCCCCTGGCACATCTGACGATTATATTGAATACAATCCGTGCAAGATCATTGTTGCATCAACAAAATTATCACCCATACCGAATAAAGTATTATTATTTTTGATTATGGTCATAAGGACAAAAAAATTCTTTGACAAATTGCATGTCGATACATGAGTGTGGGTCGTGAATACAAACATATTAACATAATAGATACTAATACAGGAGTAATAATAATTTTATGGGTTATACTTACGTCCGAATCCGAATCGTCATTTGACAACGAAATTTCGATGACGGACATTGTTTGTCTGGACAGTGGGCTTATGGGACTGGGCTATGACCTAACTTAACGAGAGATAGTGGAAAATACGACGATAATCCAAAACAGTTTTTCATGTACTCGACATGGAACAACATCCGGTCGTGCGAAGCCATTAACCGTTATCAATATTTACGCGCTTGTTACGAACCGCGGATGATTGAGTAATCTACACCAGTGTTTCCCCGATATTGAGTCGAAAAATACAGGGTTTTTTTAACTTATAATTTTTATAATTATAATTATTTATATTAAATATTATTTTTCACTATCAAAATTGTACAAGTCTAAGCACTTTGAGATGGGCAAAAAGTTTGAAACATCGATGTTCCAATGTATCCATGTATCTACATTTGAAACATCGATGTTTAAGAATATTTTTGACTATATTGGTGACGACTGCCACTTGCGAAAGAAGTTTTAGTAATTGAAAATAATTAAGAACTATCTAAGGTCAACAATGTCACAAGAAAAATTAACAAATAAAGAAACAATATCTATAGAACGTGAATTGGCTTCACAAATTAACTTTGAATATGTAATTGATTAATTTGCAACAAAAAAAAAAACTCGAATAGTAAAATTTTGAAAATGTCTAAGAACTTTTTTTTTTTTTTTATTCTATTATATAAAGTTATAATAAATTCAGAAATTCCTTTTTTTTATCCTTATTAAATATTATATTTATAATTATTCATTACTAGTTATAACTAATAATTAAAATTAATTAATTTACGTATACATTTTTTATTTGGGTGTAGTATAGGGAGGGTAACAAAATTTTCAAGGGCGGAAATATGTCAAATAGCCAGGAGCGCTGATGAACTTTGCTACGGCTCTGCTTGTATGATAACACGAATCGCAACAGTTGTAAGCCGCGCATTATTTAAAAATATCTCGGATTTTTGCAAACGCTCAGTTTATCTAAACGCGGGTATACACTATATAGTCTACTGTTTACCTCTACAAAATCGTTAAGGTATTTTCTATTACATACATTTTGTTGGTTAGTTTTACATCGTTAATACAATCGGTACGTTAGTTAGTATTCTTTTGACTGTTGTGACTCGTGATTTTAAATTGGTTTTAAGTAGAGTTTGTGAGTAATTAGTGTATAATAAAAACTATTAAAATTTGAAAATGTCAGATACTAATCGAAACTTAAAAAATAAAGCATACGCACGTCTCGTAGACTTTTAAACCTTTTAGAAGAGTTACATTATTTTGTTTGCTTCTTTGTTCTATCCATTTTTTTACCCATGTTTTTCGGTTTTTTTTTTTTAAAAGTTTCGTGCGCAACGATTGCCATAGCACATATAATTACAATCTTCTTTTTTTTTGTTTTTATACATTTTATGTAGATTAAACTACGTACTAAGTACTGTTCCGTAGGAATGGCAAAAAATATTTCTTACATGACAAAAGATCTAGTAACACAACTTAACCACAGGAAAATTGACAGTTTTGAACATATACCTACATATCTAGTCGTTACATTCCAAGGGGGCGGGCTAATTCAGCAGATCTGGAATGACAGTGAATGGGTATCAAAAGTTCTGTACCGCGACGGACTAGAACTGACGATCTGATCGGCAGTTTTGGAATGCCATTCCAAAACTGACGGAAATATATATACATATATCTTCTGATTTTATATTAAATAATTTGTTTCCATTTGAAAATCCAAAACTTGATACAACTTTTTCCATCTGATTTCCAGCTAAAATTAAAAACAATCGAGTCGAAAACTAAATAGCATTCTCTTTTTAGTTCTTGTTCTGCTTTTAATTTTCGTTCGTCATTTGGTAAATCGTCAAAATATCTTTTGACAATTTTTGAACGTTTTTCTTCAAATTGTGAAGGAATATTTAAAAATTTAGCTTTTTCTTTTGCTTTGTTTATTGAAAACTCAAATACATTATTTCTGATATTCATTATAGCGATACTAACTCTTTTAACATAAGTGAAGTCGTATCTATTGTTTATATTATGAAACATAATAATTTTTACATTGCCGGAGACTTAAGATTAATTATATTATACATTATAGCGATTTGTAGGTTAATTTGCCCAAAAAATTTTGGAGAGGCTTCAAGGAATTCCAGGTGGGCTTCATCCCCTTCATGCCCCCCTAGTTATGCTTATGCTCGTGACACATATACGGCCATACGGGAGAAATTGATAAATTTGATCAAATAATAATTAATATCATACTGTAAGAGTTGGAAGTAAAGGCGATGATAGTTGAAAAATGTTTCATTATTTAGGATAGTTTCTAGTATAGGAAATATTTTAATATCTTATAAAGGGAATTGAAAAGTAAAAATACATATGATATTTTAACTTAAGTTTAAATCAGTGTCAGGTAATAATGGACTGGTAGGTGTATTAAATTAAATATATTTAAATTATATTTAAATTTGTGTATCAGAAAAATGAAGAGTTTTTTTAAGTATGGAAATAAGAATCAACAACTATAATAATGAATTTCTTGGTGTAGGAAAATATGTTTCATCAATTGAAAAATATCGTATAAGTGGTTTTAATTATTGTTATTATTATTATTATGAAATATAATTAAATACCACTATATGGATAATAAAGTACTCCCTATTCTTCAACAGACCGAATCACATAATGATAATTGACCAACGAAACTATGAAACGTAGGAGTTGTTCGCTCGGCCTGTGTTAAATTTTTAGATTATTCTTATTGCATTGAAATTTCCGGATTACGATAATATTTTTCTCCAAGTATAATTTTCCAATAGAATTTGAATTAATCATTTAAATTAATTTGACAAAATATAAATTAATAATTATAACAAGTATAATTGCAAGTTTCATTTTATCTTAAAATTACGTAGGTAGTGTTATCACAACATCGCACGCGTGTCTTAACACGAGTCGCCAATGCATATAAATAATTATTTTGTAATAAAATCTAAAACTCTACAGCTCTAAAACTTATATTAATATATGAACTATAATTTATTAAATTTAATATACTTATAATAGTCAATTACTTACCGTATAAGTTTTTGAAGATCTTCATGCAATATACAAGCTTCATACACTCGTATAAAATTATTAAAATATATTGAAATACGAGTATCTATATTATTATTGTTCTGTATTTGTGATAATATTACTTAATTATAAAATAATATGTATATATTGGTGGAAGATTTAAGATAAGAACTTTGGAATATTGTTTTTTATCTATAATATGCAGTATGCATCCAATAAATATACACTACATATAAGCATATTATAGGCCACCAATGTTCAACAGTTCTTAGAATATCAAATTATCTCTCGGTACATTATTAGACATCATATGATTTTGTAAATATAACTATAAATTGAAAACAATTTGTGTATATTATAAATAAAATGTATTATGTACATACCTATATTATTAATAAAGACATAAGTATATACGAGGGGCAAATGATAAGTAATGCACAATCGCCAATAACTCACAATCGTAATAAGATAAAGACTTCAAAATTAGATCCAAATATAGCTATTGTTATCGTTTATAACTGAGAAATACCCATTTGAACATGACTCGATTTGTTTTTAATCAGTGCGTGTCAGAATGGAGCCTAGTACTGACGTATTGTCAACGAAATTAAAACAACGAGCTGTGATTGAATTTTTAACCGCCGAAAATGTTAATCCGATAGACATTCATCGTCGCTTAAAAGCTGTTTACGGTAATACAACTGTAGACCGAAGCACAGTATCTCGTTGGGTATCAAAATGTAAATTAACTGACCCTGGTAAAATGAATATTCTGGATAAACATCGCGATGGACGACCTGCCTGTAACTGTTACGGATGAAAAACATCGAATTCAAGTGGACGAGCTTATCAAAAATGATCGTCGAATAACTCAAAACCGCATAGCTGATATTGTTGGGATGTCGCAAGAAAGAGTCGGGTTCATTATTCAGCAACTTGGCTATCGAAAAATTTGCGCTCGTTGGGTACCGAAAATGTTGACACAGGAAAACAAGAAAATTCGAGTTGAGTGTAGCCAAAAATTGTTGAACCGTTATCACCAAGGAGAGCAGTTTCTCTTAAAAATTGTGACCGGTGACGAAACTTGGATGCATTACTACGATTCAGAGGAAAAAAGACAGAGTATGGAATATCGTCATGTCACTTCTTCCCAGCCCAAAAAGTTCAAGGTTCAGCCTTCTGCAGGAAAGATTATGCTTACGGTATTTTGGGATGGAAATCAAGCTTATCTAACGGATTATTTGGAAAAGGGGACAAATGTAAACTCAGCCCGATACATTGAGTCACTGAAAAAATTAACGATAACGCCCGACCTCACACATCAAATGCAACCAGTACCGCTCTCAAACAGTTGAAATTCGAGGTTCTTCAACACTCACCGTATTCACCAGATTTGGCACCTTGTGATTTCCACTTATTCTCAGACCTTAAGAGAGACCTCAAATGCACCCATTTCACGTCGGACAAAGAAGTCAAGGAAGCAGTGAAGTCTTGGATAAAAAAGAGACCAGCTACATATTTTAGTGACGGTATGAAGAAACTTGTAACTCGTTGGGAGAAGTGTATATCTGTAAATGGTGATTATATTGAAAAATAAAGGTATTCATTTCTAGCTAAAGAAGTGTATTTTTATATATATTTTTTTTCATTTCAATTATCTCTCTTCATTTTCGAAAAATTCACGATTGTGCATTACTTATCATTTGCCCCTCGTAAATATTTAAATTCTGTCTTTTGCGCCCTTTTTTTTGTTGCACCTCTGGCATGGGCCAGTCTCGCCAAGCCCTTGCTACGGCTCTGCATACAAGTGTTTAAACTTGGCCTATAGGTGTACACGTTGATGATTAGGCGACAGGATGGATAAATATTAATGGTAAAGTGTTTTTGGCCAACTTTATCTCAAAATTTAATAGCTTTATTTTATCAATTAGATAATAATTTTAAATTCCATTACGAAACATGACTAATTTGTTTTGTAAATGTTAAACGAAAGAAATATCTTAAAATTTTACAATACCGCTTAAATATTTAACTGTCAACAGAAGCCCAAGGCTCGGAGCTGTAGCCCCCCTAGCCCCCCTTTAAGTCGGGCTCTGGTCTAAGAAGACAAAATTAAGGTTATATATGGCAATATAAGGCCTTATAATTAAAAAATGGGTTTATTTAAATTAGACTTTAAAGATAAGATAACTTAAGCTATCCTTTTTTTTTT